TTTTGCAAGAAAGAGTGGGCAAATATTGCCAAGTCAAGATGTGCCATGCTGACAGACTCATACCCAAAAAGACTGAGTGCTGTAATAAAAATCAAAAGGTGCTTCAACAAAGTATTAGTGTAAGGCTCCATGTACACGAGCCTACGCTGACCGCCAAACGCTGGAAAGCGCAAATCACAGCAAAACACGGTAACTGTGGTACCGCAATTTTGCCGTGGTCTTCCCGCGTTTTGCGTTTTCTCACGGCTGGCGTTAAAAACGTTCCTATCCTGAACGCGATTCTTCTGCTTCAGGAGAGGGACATTTAGCCTCACCTAAACAGGTCCTAAACTCTGCTAGAAGCCTATGTGTACATGGACACATAGGCTTTTATGGAGCTAAGTTTAGGAGCTTTGGCAAAAAAATTACAAAAGCTCCTAAACTCGAATTTAGGAGCAGCAGTGTACATGGAGCCTACGGGTGTGCATACTTATGCAACCATATTACTTTAGTTTTTTTTATTTTTATTGCCCTCCTCCTTAAAGATTTCAGTTTGTTGTTCAATTGAGTTGTACAGTTTATAGGTTACAATAAAGGTGGAAAAAATTCTGAAATTATTTGTCCTGGTCTCATTTTTTTACATCATAGAAACCTGACATTTTAACAGGGGTGTGTAGACTTTTTATATCCACTGTATGCAAAATGCAAGTTAAGGAAGAAAAATAAACATCAATGTCTGTGTATTTAGTGAGGACAGTGATCACTGATTGATTGATTTTCATTTAATATGCGTGCACCTGGATGTGGGTGGGAGGTAGGAGGGTAGATGAGGCAGGGTGTGTGCTAAGGAGGTCAGCTGGTCAACTCCTCCAACCTAAAGGCTGGTGGGTAGAAAAAATGGAAAGCTTTTGAATTTCTACAAAAGAAGTACATTAATGCTATATCGGTACATAGGGGAGCTGGAATTTAGAAAAAAAGGTGTTACATGTAAGGATTTACAACCACTTTAACTCTTTTACAGAGTGCAAGCATCAGCAACCAATTGGTATACACTTCCTGATGTTACACTAGTAGAAGATATTAGTTATATCACGGTGTATCTACATCCTACACTGTAGGTGCCATGTTCTTCATTTCTTCAGCTGAGCAACTTGGTAAGGATTTAAATGTAATATCTTAATGCCTGTTCTTTAAACACGTTTCTATTCATAGTTTCTTTCTGTGCATAAAGTAGTCACATTTGATAATATATATATATACTGTCTGCACAGAAATTGAAGTGGTATTTTTTATCTACAGACACCCCTTATCTACATAGGCAGTTTTTTTGGTAAAGTTTTTCAAACTTTCAACAGTTTTTGTAATAACTTAATATGTTTGCTGCTTTTTTATCTTTCAATCTTTCCGTATGTTTCAGTTTAAGCTGGTGCCATGACTACTGCCCCACGTTTTCTGCTTCAGGGTGGCTCCTTTCTCTTGCAGCATCCCATGGGCCACCCTTGCATGCAGATACTAGAGTTGTGTCTCCCTACACCATGTGCATTAATAGAAACACACAGCCCCTAGGCTACTCACTCTGCCTCTAACACCCACCTCACACCCCAAAAAATTCATAGTCTGACACCAGACTGCACTGTCCACTTTTAACACATTCCTGTGAAGACCAGAAGTTTAGGGAAGCAGCACTGAGAAAACAGTATCAGCAGCATTGAAAAATCGCAAACTGCAAGTGCTGGGGTAAGAATCTTAAGTTTTCTGGGGAATGTTTATTTTATTGTGATCAATGTGCTGAGGTAAACAACACTGTGGGTTTAATACTAGTTGCTTGCCCAGATTGGCGGGAAGCAAGAACCTCTGTAAGTGAATGAGCTATAAATAAAATATATTGTTGGCCATAGTGACCAATTAGCTTAATTAATTTGCTTTCAAACAAGGCTACAATAATGACAGCTCAAGTGGTTGTAAACCCTTGCATATACCCAGTGAAGTGACTGGCCTCAGGTGATACCCAGAGATTATACAAATTATCCCACATACGTTGTACCTGTTTATCTGCAGTTTTCTCTTCTCTACATCCATTGAAAGTGCTGAACTTATAAAGCTTGTATAGCTGTCTAAAAAGGGGGCGGAGGCCTGAAGTTACACTCTGCAGACCTTAGTGAGGAGAGCTCTGAGAGCTGATTGGAGGGAAGGGACACCCCCCTTCCCACAGCTCACAGGAACAGAACTGAGTCTGTCAATCAACCCCCCCTTCACCATTTTTTTCTTGGTGTCAGAAGAACTTGACAAAAGTGATTCATGTTGATAGCAGAGGAATGAAGCAGCAATCAGAAATGACTCTTAGTGCTCTCAATTGAGAGAAGTACATACTATAGAGGGATATGCTTTGTTCATATTTCATGTCTGAGGTTTACAACCACTTTAAGAGCTACACCTTCAGGTATAATAAAGCCAAGGAATGGGAGAAAGGTCTCTGCCAAATTTTTCAATAAAGTTTTACTTGTGGGACTGAAAGCAGTGTGCAGCTCAGCATTTGATCATTTACAACGAGGGGAGGTGATGGAGCCTGGAGCATTGCTGGCACCTGCGTCTGGAGTGTGGCGAGAGGCCTTTGAGTGTATCTCTGTGAATGGAGGAAAATGTGCAGATCTAATCGAATTTCTATAATATAGCAAAGGAAATAATAGGAAAGCAAAGACAAGAATAATGAAATAATATAAATAACTCACATTACATACTCATAAATGCATATTTTCCTTTCAAAAAACTAATTTCAAGCAATGCTATATTATTTACAATCTCGTAGTAATATGTTGGCTCAGCCTATAGAGCAATGATGTTCAAAGGGCTTTTTGTTACCCTAGATCAGCAATGGGCAAACTACGGCCCGCGGACCTTTTAATCCGCCCGCGGACAGTGATTGGCTGTCAGGATGTCTGTAGGCGGGGCAGCGTGACGAACGTGAGGGGAGGGGAGCTAGGCTCCTCTCACAGTCTGCCCTGAAGACCGGAACGGCGCGGGAACACAGCGAGAGGAACGCGCGGAGCAAAGGTAAGTAAATTGACACAGGGGGGACTTGGCTTACTACTTGGGGGGGAATAGTACTATGGGGGATGAAATACTATATGAGGGATGAATTACTATAGGGGGGATGAATTACTATAGGGGGGATGAATTACTATATGGGGGATGAATTACTATGGGGGATGAATTACTATGGGGGATGAATTACTATATGGGGGATTAATTACTATGCTTACTATGGGGGAATATTCATTCATCTACTCTTGGTCCGGCCCCCGGTTCCAATATATGAACCCATTGCGGCACTCAAGTCAAAAAGTTTGCCCACCCCTGCCCTAGATTATTAAGGATCATATTATTCTATTATATTCTAAGTATAAATACATTTTGGATGGTACAAAACAGCAACAAAGTTATGACTGGGGGAGTTTCATGCCCATAAAAATGATGCAGATACTTTACAGGAAAAGGTTGAAGGTCTAACTCATATCTACAAGGATCACTACTGATCTAAATGCAAGTAACCTAACATATGATATACGGAATTTGGCTTATGTACTTTTCACATCATTGCTCTTGGCTCTGGATTGTAAAATATTTCTTAATTTGTAATGGCATAGTCTCAAAAAGCCAAAGAGAATGAATATTTGTTTTGTACATATTTTGTTTGCTTTTTTTTTGGTCAGGGCTAAAAAAAATATGCATTTTAAAAACATAGTTGAATATTTTGTCAGTTAACTGCTCAAAGAATATGTAAACCCAACATTTCATATTCCTTATATGTTCCTGATAAGTTCTTGTATGAAAAAGGTATTCTCTTTGTATTGCTTCCTTATTGTGAAACCCCTTGCATTTCCGTCTGTCCCTATGCTTTCCTATTAACAACTGACCACACTAGTCAGGAGAGAAAAGCATGGTCAGTTCTCTAGCTATGCTGGGAACTCAGTGTGCTCTACTAGTCTGACCCCCCCCCAACCATTCACTGGGAAGACCAGTGTGCTACTGTTTTCTCCTCCCTGTGCTCCTTGTGCAGCTGAGAACAGAGGGAATGTGATCACTTATAAAAAAAAAAAGGGGGGGGGGTATTTATAATTGTTTTGATATGCATACATATTTTGGCTTTTATTTATTTTTTAGACTTAGTGGGTTGCTTTACAAGGTGAGGTTTACATATTCTTTAAATATTATAGTCAGAGTGCCCCTTAGCATAAAATGTGCCCATCAAAGTGCCCCTTAACATAAATTTTACCCAATCAGAGTGCCCCTTAATATAAATGTGCCCATCAGCATGCCCCTTATGTTGTGTTAAGGGCCACTCTGACGGTCACATTTTATGTTAAGGGGCACTCTGATGGGCACATTTTATGTTAAGGGCACTCTCATGCGTACATTTTATGTTAAGGGGCACTCTGATGCGTACATTTTATGTTAAGGGGCACTCTGATGCGTACATTTTATGTTAAGGGGCACTCTGATGGGCACATTTTATGTTAAGGGGCACTCTGATGCGTACATTTTATGTTAAGGGGCACTCTGATGGGTACATTTTATGTTAAGGGCCACTCTGACGGGCACATTTTATGTTAAGGGGCACTCTGATGCGTACATTTTATGTTAAGGGGCACTCTGATGGGTACATTTTATGTTAAGGGCCACTCTGATGCGTACATTTTATGTTAAGGGGCACTCTGACAGGCACATTTTATATTAAGGGGCACTCTGATGGGAATCTTTTATGTTAAAGGGGCACTATGATGGGCATCTTTTATGTTAAAGGGGCACTCTGATGGGAATCTTTTATGTTAAAGGGGCACTATGATGGGCATCTTTTATGTTAAAGGGGCACTATGATGGGCACATGTTATGTAAAGGGGGCACAAATGGGCATATAGTGTGGAAAAGGGCACTCTGATGGACACATGTGATGGAAAGGGGCACTGTGATGGGCACACGTGATGGAAAGGGGCAGTCTGATTGGCACATGTGATGGAAAGGGGCCCTCTGATTGGCACATGTGATGGAAAGGGGCACTCTGATGGGTAATATGCTGTAAAGGGGCACTCCAATGGGGAAATATGAAGGAAAGGGGTACTTTGAGTACTCTGATGGGAATACCTGATGTAAGGTGGCACTGTGATGGGGATACCTGATGTAAAAGGGCACTCTGATGGGGACAGCTGATGTAAAGGAGCACTCTGATGGGCACTCTTGATGTGATGGGAATACATGATGTAAAGTTGCACTCTGATGGTGACACCTAATGTAAGGGTGCACACTGGTGGACACACCCTATTCGGACCATTTTAGTGACTGGACCTCCTTGAATTTTAATTCAATACCCCTCGTCTATATAATAAAATTGCTCTAAAATTGCTTTCTTTTGCATTGTGACCGCTGTTAAAAAAAAAAAGTAGTTTTGCTACATATGAAAAGTATACCTTTATTCTATAATTTGTTTAATCGACAGACAAAAAAGTAACAAACCTTGTTTAAAAAATATATTATTGTAGATAAAAGTAAAACTTTTTTTTTACTTTATGTGAACTAAATGACAACTTTAATCCTGGATCAACAGGCCCATAGCAGAAATGTAAAATATTTCTCTGGCCAATAGGGGTGTACAGATGTTTTAAAGGATAAGTTCACCTTTCATAACATGTTACATATTACACGCATATTCAGGGTTTAACATGCAACATGTTAGGATCAGACTGACTCCCACTCCCTGCTTTGACAGCTAGCGAGGGATTTTTTTTCCCTGGTAGCTATCAAATTAAAAAAAAAAACATGGCCGCCCAGCAGCGTCACTCATTCACAGTCCTCTGTGAATGAGAGACTACAAGTCCCAACAGCCTTATCGGCTGTTGGCTTGTAGTGCTCAATGAACTACCATGGTGCTGATATACTGATATACTGACAGATCTGCAGGAGACCTGCATGGCACCAGCAATCTAATGATCACTGGTGCAATGTTTTACAGGCTCCTGCAGACAAAAATAATAAATGCACATTTTTTTACCTGCAAAAAAATGTGCATTTACTATTTTTAACTAAAAGGTGAACCTATCCCTTAAAGAAGAAATTGAATCAAAGGTATATAAGTGCAAGCTTATTTACAGCCTGTATTCATCTTTCTTCTGGCTCTGTGGTAGTTTGCGTATCATAGATTCCTGCAAAGTCATATACTCAAGAGAGTGGCACAAACCTAGTGGTAGCTCTTGAAAACTAAGTGATGAAAACGCCCTATGGCTGTCATAGACAAATCGACACAGTTTTTGCTTCTAACATTGAAGAGGCTGCTTCTCCAACAGAACATGTTCCTACAGTAGAACTAAGGTCCTATTTAAAAAAACATTGCTGGGAGGCAGGTTTTTATTGCAGAAGAGACTCTGTGTTTTTAATGTATGTTCAATCCAGGCATCTGACGGGTGCTGGGATGAATTAACTCTTACGCATATTCTTGCACATTGTCCTTTTTTTTTACTGCTTCTGAATTTTCATTTTTTGCCTTCTTTCCTTCCTCATACAATGTGAAGGGAAAAGCACTTTGAAGCAAAAGCTAGTCATAAGCATTTTAGAAGGCTGCCTGAAGTAGGTCAAAGAAATTCAACTACATATCAATGCAAAACAAACACTGCATTTAGCTTTAGTCTGGGTCTGAAACCCATGTAATTAAACTTTAAACCAGGAGAACCTATGGGGAGAATTCACTAATGCATTTACAATGGTATTGGACATTTAAAGAATCCTGCACCAATTTCATGAAAGCAATGTGACAATTTCAGTACCAGTTCCGGCATGTACAACAGATTAATGTAGTTCTTTTTTGCATCACTTTTGTGATGTGGTCTTGTGGCTGCGAGAGATTCAAATAGAAATAATTCCTGTTCCTAGATAAGCTGAAGAAAATTAAGACCAATTTAAAGTTGGCAGAAAGAGAAACCGTAGGTGGATTCCATAGCTTTTATTTAGCCAAATGGCGGTTTTGGAACCAATCATTAAGGCAGGCAGATCTGATGGGGAATTAGTTCCAGACTTCCCCATCAGACTCCGTCAACCCAACTATTTCACAACCACTTCTCCTGTTGGAGTCTGCCTCACCTATGATTGACATCGGACAGCAGTGGGGGATTCCATAGCCCTAATGGTCTAAATAGTGGCTATGGGATATGGCCGTTGGTGACCACAGTCAATTACAAGCAAGGGGGACCTGATGGGGAACTAGTTTCTCACAGTCCCCCATCAGGCTCCACCCATCCCATAACAAAACTCCTCGGCCATGTGCCTGTCTGTATGACGGGCACAGTGGCTGAGAAGGGAGCCGCACTGAAGGGATGTCCAGTATGGACAATCCAACCTCAGTACAGGCCTCTGACAGATTCATGTACCTGTTTTGATGCTCCCCCATTGATTTTACTGGCAATTACTTTGCACTGCACAGCAGAAGCATCTGTCAAAATGCAGCAGGTCCTGCATTAAATGACACCTGCAAATATCTGCAAGTGCTAAATTACATGGGGGGCCCAATAAAATGTTTGTCCAGGATCCAATCAATAATAAAGATGGCCCTCTCTTCAGATGCACCGTAAGCGCTTCCCTATAAATCACCATTTTAACTCAAGGAAACAAAAACAACACTCATTGCACAATATCAATCAAAATCAAACCAGTCAAATTTATTATACAGCAGAGTAAAATGAGACTCACAGACCCAGTGCACATAGAAACTATTGCCCCTTTAATCGCTTCCCCCGGGTGAATGTCATGTGATCATGCCTGCAGGTATCAAAATATACAGCTGGTGGGCATCGTTTGGAGACTGGTGTGGAGAGAGGAGCATATCTGTGTAGCTGTGAAGATCCCCTTGGTGGAGCTTTGTAGATGTCAGTACCCTACCTGGATGATTACAAGTCTGTGATTATATATTTTTGGTTTTGGTCTCAGAAGTCACTTTGGAAGCGGTTTTCAACTTGAAGGTTTTTTTGAACTTTATGATTGACTTTAAGGACAATTCTTTCAATTTATGTTATATTTGGGATTTTTATTACTTAGGGCACTGTTCATTTTTGTGAGTTAGCATATTTATAATATTAGATTTCTAATAATACATCAAAAATACATAAATACAAATTTGCGCAGAGTAGTAAACAAGAAAATGAGAAGTAAAAGTCCGCTAGAGTGTATAAGCCAACACCACACAATGATGTAAGTCCTTCAATGGATGTGGGATCAACCCAATCTCTCCAACTCTTCACCACTTGTGTCCAAAAAAAATGCGCACTCACCAGAGGGTTTTGACCCCTTTTTACAGGTAGGTCAAACAGCATATGATCTCCCAAAGGTACGTTAGGTCAAGGAGTGGATTCCATGTGCTTCTTCAAATGATCAGCTTAATATGGCATACTCAGTAGTGATGGGCTGAACTCCCCCACTGTTCGGTTCGTGGTCGAACATGCGAACCTACAGAAAATTTGACTTTTAACTTCAAACAGGGACAATTTACTGAGCGGTATCTTACCGTATCTGAGTATGCTAAAATACTGCATGAGTTATATTATTAAGTAATGCGGTATTTAAGTAGTGAAACATTCATTCATGTTTCAGCTGTCAGTGGGGGTCACTGCTGACAGCTGAATGTCAAAACAATTGTGACAATTAAACTTTTTTTTTTTTAAACGGCATAGGGTCCCCCCTCCCATCCATACAAAGCCCTTTGCGTCTGGTATGGATCTTGAGGGGAACCCCCCAAGCCCAAATTTAAAAAAAAATGGCATGGGGGTCCCACAAAATCCATGCCAGACCCTTATCCAAGCATGCAGCCTGGCAGGTCACAGGCCACATGCCCTCAACATGGGGGGAAGCTTTGGGGCAGGGGGGGCTCCCTCCCCCCAAAGCTCCTTGTCTCCATGTTGATGGGGACAAGGGCCTCTTCCCCACAACCCTGGCCAGTAGTTGTGGGGGTCTGTAGGTGAGGTGCTTATTGGAATCTGGAAGCCCCCTTAAACAAGGGGGCCCCCAGATCTCACCACCCCCCCTATGTGAATGAGTATGAGGTACCACTATCCATTCACAAAAAATAAAAGTGTGGTGTAAAAAAGACAGGAGACAATCTTTGACAAGTCCTTTATTATAAAAAAATAAAAAATGTCCCCTGAAGTAGATTTGAGATCAGTCATGATGCCCGACTCCACTGCCGACCTGAAAAAAGAATAGAAAATCCTCTCCGCCCTCCACGCTGGCTCCCACCATCTGAAAGCTGCACCACCTTGACAGTTCTTCAATAGGGGGATGACTTTAGGTCAGGTGCAGTGCTCTAGTCAATCACAATGCACTGTCAGGGCTCAGTGCATTGTGGGGCACGGCGGGCAAACAGCCTGCCGAACAAACGTGCCATTTGTGTGTTCAACGAATTGCCCAAGTTCAAGTCGAACTTACGTTCAAACCGAACATGCAGCCCTTCACTAATACTCAGAAGTGAAGCAGGGAACATCCAAGCATCTAAGTGTAGTTTTTATATAAGTTATTGTACAAAAAAAGTAAAAAAAAAAAATGCACTCACATCACAAGGTGCCTATATTACCGGCACCAGTGTATACAGCCTATAATGGATGTTAATCACTACACTGCCTCCATTGGCCGGCATGTGTTCCAAGCCTCCGTTCCGTGGGCTAGATGTGACAGTCCCAGTGCTTCTACATACGTTTCACCAGAGTGGCATCTTCAGGGAGTCCTGCTGGTCACCCTCTTGACCAGGGTTTGGCTGAGTCAGCATAAATACTCATGCTGCCCATCTGCTTAGTACAGACCTATGTTCGAGAACAGCCCAGAGCATGGATGGACTGACAACTCATAGGGCCCCTGGGCAATAGGGGGTCATGGGGCTCCTGCGTCCTTGCCCACACTCAAAGCACACCCAAAAAAGCTTATAAAAGGTACCAGGGGCATTTCATGGGGCCCCCTACTGACCTCGGGCCCTCGGGCAGTGCCCCAGTGCTCGAATGGTCAGTCCGCCCCTGGCCCAGTGAGTTCTGGAATGCAGGGAGGCTCCATCAAATCTGC